CTTCTGCAGTAGTCCCGGTGAGCGAAAAACTGTTACTGTTTGCTCGCCTGCAAGAGGCTGCTTGACTTTTCCTTTGTGCAATTTGCGTGGCCCAATCAGACAGTTTCAAGTCCCCCCATGCAACTTTCTGTGGTTGGTTTCAAAGTAAAGTCGGAAGGAGGGATTGGGGTAAGGGGGCTCTAGAAACAGATTCCCACCCCTTCCCAATGTGTTGCTGGCCAATGGAATTGCAGAGCAGTATCAACTTGGGAGAGTTTGAGTAACTTCAGTGCAGTAGGCTTCCCCTGAATTAACCATACTGTAGTGTAGCCCCGCGCATAACGCCAAGATGTGCAGATATCTATCTATCTATTTATATATCTATTACGTTTAAAGTTTTATTTGTCACTAGAAATAAGAGATAAGAAAGGAGGAAGAAAAAAACAGTGTCAGTACCAAATTTACAGTGAGCAGGGATAGTCGAGTAGTTGAGGTGGTAGATATGTACCTGTAGGCAGGCAGAGATGAGGAGAAATTGACTGGTAGCAGGATAAAAAATAAAAATAAAAATAATAATAATAATAAACAATATAGCAGTGTAAACTGGGCTGAAAAGTGACTGGTAGCAGGAATATTTAAATACTATGGTAGTATACTAATGGTAATATCAACATGTCAACAGGAGTAATAGTGACCAGTAGCAGGATAAATGGGTGGATATTAATGGTGACGCAATCAATAATCAATTAACATCAGCTTAATGGTAGTTATACATTTACATTTTAGTCATTTAGCAGAAGCTCTTATCCAGAGCGACTTACAGTTAGTGAGTGCATACATTATTTTTTTTATTTTTCATACTGGCCCCCGGTGGGAATCAAACCCACAACCCTGGCGTTGCAAACGCCATGCTTTACCAACTGAGCTACATCCCTGTTATAAATCGAATCAATAATAATTTAGCAGCAACGTAGGTGTGAGGGGGTGTGTGCATGTGGGTGTGAGTGTGTGACGTCAGTAATGTGTGTGTGACTGAGTGGGTAGAAACCTGTGGATGGGCCTAGAGTCAGTGTGGATAGTCTGTGGGAGAGGGAGAGAAGTAGTTGTTAGCCATTTAACAGTCTTATGGCCAGGGGATAGAAGCTGTTTAGGCCCTTCCAAAAAAGATAGCAGTTTTGAAACTGCAGTAAAAGTTCAGTAACTGCAGTCGACTGTGGTATTTTGGACGCAGTGATTGCAGAATAAAATCTAATTGTATTTGTCACTTGTGATGAATACAACAGGTGTAGACCTTACCGTGAAATGCTTACTGTAACTGCAGTTACACTGCTAAATTACTTGCATCATACTGCAGTTATACTGCATTCTAACTGCAGTTATACTGCACTCTGACTGCAATCTCTCGTAAGGGGTAGTCTGTTGGTCTGAGCCTTGATGCACCGGTACCGCCTGCTGGAAGGAAGCACTCCTGGCTGGAGTCTTTGGCAATTTTTTGGGTCTTTCTCAGACACCGCCTGGCATGTACATCCTGGATGGCTGGGAGCTCACCCCAGTGATGCGCGCGAGCGAGCGAGCGAGCGAGCGAGCGAGCGAGCGAAGCAGCGAGCGAAGCAGCGAGCGAAGCAGCAGCGACAGCAGCGAGCGAGCGAGCGAGCGAGCGAGGGCGAGGAGCGAGCGAGCGAGCGAGCGAGCGAGCGAGCGAGCGAGCAGCGAGCGAGCGAGCGAGAAGCAGCGAGCGATGCGAGCGAGCGAGTCGAGCGAGGAGCGAAGCGAGCGAGCGAGCGAGCGAGCGAGCGCAGGCGAGCGAGCGAGCGAGCGAGCGAGCGAGCGAGCGAGCGAGCGAGCGAAGCGAGAGCGAGCGAGCGAGCAGCGCAGCGAGCGAGCAGAGCGAGCTGAGCGAGCGAGCGAGCAGCGAGCGAGCGAGCGAGCAGAGCGAGCGAGCGAGCGAGCGAGCGAGCGAGCGAGCGACGCGAGCGAGCGAGCGAGCGCGAGGACGAGCGAGCGAGCGAGCACGAGCGAGCGAGCGAGCGAGCGAGCGAGCGATCGAGCTACGACGCGAGCGAGCGAGCGAGCAGCGAGCGAGCGAGCGAGCGAGCGAAGCGAGCGAGCGAGCGACGAGCGAGCGAGACGAGCGAGCGAGCGAGCGAGCGAGCGAGCGAGGCGAGCGAGCGAGCGAGCGAGCGAGGAAGCGAGCGAGCAGGAGCGAGCGAGCGAGCGAGGAGCGAGAGAGCGAGCGAGCGAGCAGCGAGCGAGCGAGCGAGCGAGCGAGCGAGAGCAGGCGAGCGAGCGAGCAGAGAGCGAAGCGAGCGAGCGAGCGAGCGAGCGAGCGAGCGAGCGAGTCGAGCGAGCGAGCAGGCGAGCGAGCGAGCGAGCGAGCGAGCGAGCGAGCGAGCGAGCGCGCGAGCGAGCGAGCGAGCAGCGAGCGAGCGCGAGCGAGCGAGCGAGCGAGCGAGCGACGAGCGAGCGAGCGAGCGAGCGAGCGAGCGAGCGAGCTAGCGAGCGAGCGAGCGAGGAGCGAGCGAGCGAGCGAGCGAGCGAGCGGAGCGAGCGAGCGAGCAGCGAGCGAGCGAGCGAGCGAGCGAGCGAGCATGAGCGAGCGAGCGAAGAGCGAGCGAGCGAGCGAGCGGATGCGACGAGCTCAGCGAGAGAGCGAGCGAGCGAGCGAGACGAGCAGCGAGCGAGCGAGCGAGCGAGCGAAGCGAGCGAGCGAGCGAGCGGAGAGAGCGAGCGAGCAGAGAGCGAGCGAGCGAGCGAGCGAGCGAGCGAGCGAGCGTAGCGAGCGAGGGAGCGAGCGAGCGACGCGAGCGAGCGAGCGAAGCGAGCGAGCGAGTCGAGCGAGCAGAGCGAGCGAGCGAGCGAGCGAGCGAGCGAGCAGCGAGCGAGCAGGAGCTGACGAGCGAGCAGCGAGCGAGCGACGAGCGAGCAGCGAGCGAGCGAGCGAGCTAGCGAGCGAGCGACGAGCGAGCAGATAGCGAGCGAGCACGAGCGAGCGTCGACGAGCGAGCGAGCGAGCGAGCGACGAGCGTAGCGAGCGAGCAGCGACGAGCGAGCGAGCAGAGCGAGCGAGCGAGCGAGCGAGCGAGCGAGCGAGCGAGTGCGAGCGAGCGAGCGAGCGAGCGAGCGAGCGAGCGAGCGAGCGAGGAGCGAGCGAGCGAGCGAGCGACAGAGCGAGCGAGCGAGCGAGCGAGCGAGGAGCGAGCGAGCGAGGAGCGAGCGAGCGATGAGCGAGCGAGCGACGGGAGCAGCGAGCGAGCGAGCGAGCGAGCGAGCGAGCGAGCGATCGAGGCGAGCGAGCGAGCGAGCGAGCGAGAGAGCGAGGCGAGCGAGCGAGCGAGCGAGCGAGCGATAGCTGAGAGCGAGCGAGCGAGCGAATGAGCGAGCGAGCGAGCAGGAGCGAGCGAGCGAGCGAGGATCGAGCGAGCGAGCGAGCGAGCGAGCGAGCGGCGAGCGAGCAGCGAGCGAGCGAGCGTAGCGGCAGCGAGCAGCAGCGAGCGAGCGAGCGAGCGAGAGCAGCGAGAGCGATCGAGCGAGCGAGGCAGACGAGCACGACAGCAGCGACGATCTATCTATCTATCTATCTATCTATCTATCTATCTATCTATCTATCTATCTATCTATCTATCTATCTATCTATCTATCTATCTATCTATCTATCTATCTATCTATCTATCTATCTATCTATCTTTTATCAGCCTGCCTGCCTGCCTGCCTGCCTGCCTGCCTGCCTGCCTGCCTGCCTGCCTGCCTGCCTGCCCTGCCTGCCCGCCCGCCTGCCTGCCTGCCTGCCTGCCTGCCTGCCTGCCTGCTAGGCCAACGCAACAAAAAAAAACTCCAGACATAGCGACATCTTGTGGTTATTGTAGGACAATGCATTTGCGACAGTTGTAACCAAAAATGTCCGCTCTCCAACTACTGTACAGGGGAAGTTTATCCATATTTGGCGGAATAAATTGAGGCCCTGAATTTGACTAAGGACAATTTTTGCTATGAATTAGTTATTAGTATTTTATGTAACACAGGAGTGTATAATTTATGATGATGTAGCCGACCACGTTTACTTATATAAAAAAAAGTTCCATGAAGATGATTCTAGGAGAGCAATAAATGTTCAACAACATCGTTCATTATGCATGAAAAAGCCTCATGATATAGTCCCTCATTGATAGTAAAATAGGATTCCCCCATCTTTTAATTTTATGAAAATTATTGGTTGCTATGCCCTTTATGTGTACAATCGCTATTGGAACCCCGTTGGGTGAAAAAGCTTCCTATGGACCAATCATCACCTTTGAGACAGTTAGTGATAAAACAAGATAATTTGATTCGCGGGGGTTGATGTGGTGATCTCGAGCGAGATGTTCGCTTAAAGAGTTGCTCGTGACACTAGTTTACAAAATCGAGAAGGGCAACTGGCAAGCTCGAGATCAACAATTCTGTAGTGAGCCACAATGTACTAGTGACCTCCCCTGTCATTGTTTAAAGTCCGTTTTATTTAATTTATCTTTGGGAAAAGTTTGATTTTTAAATAGTGAACATTTCATCTGGGAACATTTACTACAGAAACGTTGTTTACTAGTTAATTTATGGAGGTAAGTAGCTAGCAAGCTAGCCCAGTTGGCTAACTACATTTAGTTAGACAGAAATCGTGTGAGGGAGACAAGGGACACAAAAGCTAACTTAGGACAAAAGTGAAACTGTCTGTTATTACTGTGTCATTCATAAAAGTTGTTTGTTTTGGGTGTTTTGGGTTTAGCTAGCTTAGCTAGCTAACTTGGACACCTGCTGAGCTTCCTTCGATCTTTGTAACTAACTTAGCTAGCTAACGTTCTCTACTGTAAGCTAGCTAATTTAGCTAGCTAGCTAACGTCAATTTAATTACAATTTGACTTGGGCCGAGTTAGCCATGTGCAATACAATATGTTATTACCGTGCTAGCTATATATCCAATAATCAAGCTAGCTAGTCAATAAAAACTGTATTGTTCTGTTGAGTGTTTGTATGAATATCTTTGTAATGTTTAGGTTAATGATGCAGTGAAGAATAGAATCAGTGCAAGTTCAAGAGGAGTGAGAATGGCATTTGATCGATTCCAGAGTGCATCATCAGGTTCAGACTCATTCTTTTCCCCATATAAGCATCAGGTGAGACATTCAAAAGAAATGTTTGATTGCAGTTCATTACAATGTAGGCTATAGATGAGAAATAATTGAAGTGGTATGTTTATTAATGGTTTATATTAAGTAGCTAATGGTTTATATTAAGTAGCTAATGTTTTGTAAGTCTTAGGTATGAATTGTCTATAGTAGGCAAAACAGAATCAGAATGTTCTCTCATCTCTCACCAGTGACTGGCTGACGTTTTCACTAAAGGGTTCATTAATTTCCTTTTTTATTGTCTCACAGACCTGTGGAACTGCGGACAACGGAAGGCTCTTGCAGCCTTACATCCCCTTACCCGATTTCTCACTGCCAGAAGAACCTCCCATGTCCTACACACCCTGGTCTGCACAGGATGATCCATACCAACTCATTGATTGCACCCAGAACAATGTTAAAAGCAGGTAACTAAACTAACTACTTCAAATACAACTCTCAGAATTGTATACTGACCCGGTCCATACTGTGTTTTGTCATACCAGTATTTAACATTGATAGTCTGAAGAAAGTATTGGGAAAAGGAAGACCGAGACTTGATTTATACTGAACAAAAATATAAACCCAACATGTAGAGTGTTGGTTCCATGTTTCATGAGCTGAAATAAAAGACCACAGACATTTCCGATACGCACAAAAGCATATTTCTCTCAAATTCTGGCCACAAATTTGTTTACATCCCTGTTAGTGAGCATTTCACCTTTGCCAAGGTAATCCATCCACCTGACAGGTGTAGCATATCAAGAAGCTGATTAAACAGTATGATCATTACACAGGTGCACCTTGTGCTGGGGACAATAAAAAGCCACTCTAAAATGTGCAGTTTTGTCACACAACACAATGCCACAGGTGTCTCAAGTTTTTTGAGGGAGCGTACAATTAGCATGCTGACTGCAGGAATGTCCACCAGAGCTGTTGCCAGAGAATATAATGTTAATTTCTCTACCATATGCCGCCTCCGTCTTTTTAGAGAATTTGGCAGTACGTCCAACCGGCCTCACACCCGCAGACCACGTGTATGGCGTTGTGTGGGCGAGCGGTTTGCTGATATCAACGTTGTGAACAGAGTGCCCCATGGTGGCAGTGGGGTTATGTTATGGGCAGGCATAAGCTACAGACAACGAACACAATTGCATTTTATCGATTGCAATTTGAATGCAAAGAGAGACCGTGACGAGATCCTGTGGCCCATTGTCGTGCCATTCATCCGCCGCCATCACCTTAGGTTTCAGCATGATAATGCATGACTCCATGTTGCAAGTATCTGTACACAATTCCTGGAAGCTGAAAATGTCCCAGTTCTTCCATGGCCTGCATACTCACCAGACATGTCACCCATTGAGCATGTTTGGGATGCTCTGGATCGACGTGTATGACATCGTGTTCCAGTTCCCACCAATATCCAGCAACTTTGCACAGCCATTGAAGAGGAGTGGGACAACATTCCACAGGCCACAATCAACAGCCTGATCAACTCTATGCGAAGGAGATGTGTCGCGCTGCATGAGGCAAATAGTGGTCACACCATATACAGACTGGTTTTCTGATCCACTCCCCTACTTTCTTTTTTATGGTACAGTATCTGTGACCAACAGATGCATACCTGTATTCCCAGTCATGTGAAATCCATAGATTAGGGCCTAATGAATTTATTTAAATTGACTGACTTCCTTAAATGAACTGTAGCTCAGTAAAATATTTGAAATTGTTGCATGTTGCGTTTATTTAAAAAAAAGTATAATTAATTGTACTAAAATCAAAGAGAACATAGGTGATTTGAAAACACAAGGTGTTCATGAGTACACTGTCCATGTGAAATTCAGTTGAACTGCTAATAACCACTGGACTTTTTCATATGATATGTACCACTCCATTTGAAATGTAAATTGAATTATTTTTCATGTATATTGACATGTTTTTGTTTTAATCTCCAAGGAATCTCCCAGATGGAAATGACTGTGGAAGTGAAGCTGATCTCTATGGGCTGGTGTCAAATATCTTGGAGGAGGCTGATCAAATGGAGAGCTACTATACGGAAGAGTAAGTTATTCATTAGGAGGGTATTTTTTGTCTTCAGTGATATGAGCTAATTTCATTGTATTGGGGGACAAGACAAATTAATGGGAATTGAAAATGGAAACTACAACGTTTACCAGTAACGACTTTGACATTTTAAATTGTGTTTAAAAAACAGTATTTAACCTTTGTTCTCAACTCTCCTTTCAGGACATCATCCCATCTGAAATCTGTCTGGTCTCCCAAGTCAATGAGCGGTGATTTCCAGCAGTACTTCCAGTCAGAGTCCAAAATGCAGTCCAACTTCCTGCCGAACCATGTTTACCCTGAGTCTTTCAGTAAAGCACAAGGGCAGCCAAAGAACAGAGATTCCGAAGAGTTCTACCAGCGTTTCAACGGCTTTGATACCAGTGACCAGCAGTGTCTCCTCTCTTCCTGCAATGGAGACATGGACACTGGATACTCTCTACAGACCCAAGAGCTGCCGAAGCCGCTGCCGAAGCCGCCGGGGCTACCGCTGCCCAACGTGGGGAACGCCTACCGGTTGAACACGAGGCCGAGTAAACACGAGTACAACACAGCTGAGAAGGTTGGAGGGTTCTGTGGGTCCGGGAACGCTCTCTTTGACCACATGGATGCCTTTGCACCCTCCTTCTGCCCCCAGAGCAAGATGAACAGCCAGTGCTTTGACCACTACTATGAAGAGTTCCCAGGACAGAGCAGCGCCAAGCCCAGAAGGACGAAGCAGTACACCATGCAAGAGGTCAACAAGCTGGCCAGCAACATCCAGGCTCTGATGGTGGGTGAGCAGGACAACGCATGTGGTAGGGAGCCCCATAACCGGCAGAGTGTGCAGATGCATTATGATGACATCATGGCCGAACAGAGGAACTTATCCAATTCCAGGATGCTTGGGCAAAGCACTCAAGCCATGCAGTTCAAGAAGGAACTGGGAGGGGAGTATGGAGCCATGCAGAGGGAGACTGATGGAGGAATGAAGAGCAAACAGCCACTACAAAGTGACTTTGGTTCCAAAGACTTATCTGGATTTGGTCCACAACACGTTGAGTATTTCCAACAACCAAAAGCACTCTCAGTGTTTTTCAATTCTCCAAGCTCTCACCAAAACAAGATGGCTGTCCAGAAAGGAAGCAACCCCCTCTCTACGGGACTGAGTCTGAACCAGTACTCTAACCATTATAGCCAGCAGAACCAGTTGCAGAACAAACTCAAGCAGCAGCAGCAGCCAAGGGGGAACTGTTTATCCTCTGAGCCGTCCAAGATGCTGTCCCACTCTGTGTCTGAGTTTGTACCTCAGCACTCCCACCAGATGCAGAGAGGACCGCCACTGTGCATCCAGGACTACAGTCAGGGAGACGGGCCCAGCCTCCACAGCAGCAGGGCAGGACAGAACCAGGTCGGGATGGGACTGGGCAGGCTGAGGAGGGGAGCCAGTGACAGTGAGTTTGAGATGCAGCTGGACAAGAGCAGGATGCACATGGCCGGGCTGGTGGCTGATGGCAACTCCTCCACTCTGTGCTTGGATGGGAAGACAAGGCCCCAGACCAGCACTCACATGACAGGAGATGGTGGCAAGAAGCAGGGACTCCTGCAGAACCCTTACCTCGACCTACTCGGCAGCATGTACGGCTCTCAGAGATTCGGCGGAGGAAACGGCACAGTCAACGCAGGGAAGAACCCAGCCTTTCTGCCTTACATGTACCAGGCTGTGAATGACCCCAGACAGAACTCCTGCCACATGCCTCTGAACTCTGCCAGCTTCAACTCCAGATCCTCCTTCCCCTACGGCGGTTCCATTCCCCCCATGGACCTGTGTGACCTGCTGCCAGACGGGGAGTTTGCAGCTTTCAACCCTTATTTCAATGACCTGATGGGCTCCAGTGGAGAGAACCCCTACACGGGGACGACGGGAGGCCTCCGCTCCCCGAGCAGGATGAGGAACCGGGGAGGACCCATGAGCGAGCTCCACTTCCACCTGGAGGAGTGCTACGAGCAATGGAGAGTCCTGGAGAAGGAGAGGAAGAAGGTGAGCAATAAAAATGAGTGGTTCATTTAGTGGGAATATTTTTGTTTGTTGTGATCATCTTGAAATCCTTATTATTTCTCTGATCATGCTGCAATACAATACTTGGTGAGAATTAATCGCAAACTAGGATTAAAATAATGTATGGTTTGACTGGTTGGCATTAAGTGTTTTTTTATATTATGTGTTTTAGACAGAGGACGTCCTTACCAAGAGTTATCCTGGAAAGCGGATTTCTGTGGTGTCCAGCAGTGCCCTCCCCAAAATCCCACCTAACCCTTCCAGAGTGGACCGTCTCATCGTGGACCAGATCCGAGAACAAGCCAAGGTGAGAAATGTTAATTCTTAAAAGTCTAAGGAGGAATGGTCATACATTTAGCTATTTGATTTACAATTTTACGACCCCTTTAGGTATAAAAAATAATATATAAAAAATGATTTGATAAAATATTGAATTTGGCCTTTACTACTATAGCCCTGAGAAACGCATTGAATAACACATTCATACAGTGCATTCGAAAAGTATTCAGACTCCTTGACTTTTTCCACATTTTGTTACGTTACAGCCTTATTCTAAAATTTATAAAATAATTTTTTCCTCTCATCAATCTACACACAATACCCCATAATGACAAAGCGAAAACAGGTTTTTAGAAATGTTTGCAAATGCATTACAAATAGGAAAACAGAAATACCTTATTTACATAAGGATTCAGAACCTTTGCTATGAGACTCGAAATTGAGTTCAGGTGCATCCTGTTTCCATTGATCATCCTTGAGATGTTTCTACAACTTGATTGGAGTCCACCTGTGGTAAATTAAATTGATTGGACATGATTTGGAAAGGCACACACCTGCCTATATAAGGTCCCACAGTTGACAGTGTATGTCAGAGCAAAAACCAAGCCATGAGGTCGAAGGAATTGTCCGTAGAGCGCCAAGACAGGATTGTGTCAAGGCACAGATCTGGGGGAGGGTACCAAAAACTGTCTGCAGCATTGAAGGTCCCCAAGAACACAGTGGCCTCCATCATTCTTAAATGGAAGAAGTTTGGAACCACCAGGACTCTTCCTAGAGCTGGCCGCCTGGCCAATCTGAGCAATCGGGGGAGAAGGGCCTTGGTCAGGGAGGTGACCAAGAACCTGATGGTCACTCTGACAGAGCTCCAGAGTTCCTCTGTGGAGATGGGAGAACCTTCCAGAAGGACAACCATCTCTGCAGCACTCCACCAATCAGGCATTTATGGTAGAGTGGCCAGACAGAAGCCACTCCTCAGTAAAAGGCACACGACAGCCCGCTTGGAGTTTGCCAAAAGGCACCGAAATGACTTTTAGACCATGAGAAACAAGATTCTCTGGTCTGATGAAACCAAGATTGAACTCTTTGTCCTGAATGCCAAACGTCACTTCTGGAAGAAACCTGGCACCATCCCTACGGTGAAGCATGGTGGTGGCAGCATCATGCTGTGGGGATGTTTTTCAGTGGCAGGGACTGGGAGACTAGTCAGGATTGAGGGAAAGATGAACGGAGCAAAGTACAGAGAGATCCTTTGAAGAAAACCTGCTCCAGAGTGATCAGGACCTCAGACTGGGGCAAAGGTTCCCCTTCCAACAAGACAACAACCATAAGCACACAGCCAAGACAACGCAGGAGTGGCTTCGGGACATCTCTCTGAATGTCCTTGAGTGGCCCAGTCAGAGCCTGGACTTGAACCCAATCGAACATCTCTGGAGAGACATTTACATTTACGTCATTTAGCAGACGCTCTTATCCAGAGCGACTTACAAATAGGTGCATTCACCTTATAGCCAGTGGGATAACCACTTTACAATGTTTTTTTTTTGTTTTTTTTTTGGGGGGGGGGGGGGGGGGGGGGGGGGGGGGGGGGGGGGTAGAAGGATTACTTTATCCTATCCCAGGTATTTCTTAAAGAGGTGGGGTTTCAAATGTCTCCGGAAGGTGGTGAGTGACTCCGCTGTCCTGGCGTCGTGAGGGAGCTTGTTCCACCATTGGGGTGCCAGAGCAGCGAACAGTTTTGACTGGGCTGAGCGGGAACTATGCTTCCGCAGAGGTAGGGGAGCCAGCAGGCCAGAGGTGGATGAACGCAGTGCCCTCGTTTGGGTGTAGGGACTGATCAGAGCCTGAAGGTACGGAGGTGCCGTTCCCCTCACAGCTCCGTAGGCAAGCACCATGGTCTTGTAGCAGATGCGAGCTTCAACTGGAAGCCAGTGGAGTGTGCGGAGGAGCGGGGTGCGTGAGAGAACTTGGGAAGGTTGAACACCAGACGGGCTGCGGCATTCTGGATGAGTTGTAGGGGTTTAATGGCACAGCCAGGGAGCCCAGCCAACAGCGAGTTGTAGTAATCCAGACGGGAGATGACAAGTGCCTGGATTAGGACCTGTGCCGCTTCCTGTGTAAGGCAGGGTCGTACTCTCCGAATGTTGTAGAGCATGAACCTACAGGATCTGGTCACCGCCTTGATGTTAGCGGAGAACGACAGGGTGTTGTCCAGGGTCACGCCAAGGCTCTTCGCACTCTGGGAGGAGGACACAACGGAGTTGTCAACCGTGATGGCGAGATCATGGAACGGGCAGTCCTTCCCCGGGAGGAAGAGCAGCTCCGTCTTGCCGAGGTTCAGCTTGAGGTGGTGATCCGTCATCCATACTGATATGTCTGCCAGACATGCAGAGATGCGATTCGCCACCTGGTTATCAGAAGGGGGAAAGGAGAAGATTAGTTGTGTGTCGTCAGCGTAGCAATGATAGGAGAGGCCATGTGAGGATATGACAGAGCCAAGTGACTTGGTGTATAGCGAGAATAGGAGAGGGCCTAGAACTGAGCCCTGGGGGACACCAGTGGTGAGAGCACGTGGTGCGGAGACAGCTTCTCGCCACGCCACTTGGTAGGAGCGACCGGTCAGGTAGGACGCAATCCAAGAGTGAGCCGCGCCGGAGATGCCCAGCTCGGAGAGGGTGGAGAGGAGGATCTGATGGTTCACAGTATCAAAGGCAGCAGACAGGTCTAGAAGGACAAGAGCAGAGGAGAGAGAGTTAGCTTTAGCAGTGCGGAGAGCCTCTGTGACACAGAGAAGAGCAGTCTCAGTTGAATGACCAGTCTTGAAACCTGACTGGTTTGGATCAAGAAGGTCATTCTGAGAGAGATAGCAAGAGAGTTGGCTAAAGACGGCACGCTCAATAGTTTTGGAGAGAAAAGAAAGAAGGGATACTGGTCTGTAGTTGTTGACATCAGAGGGATCGAGTGTTGGTTTTTTGAGAAGGGGTGCAACTCTCGCTCTCTTGAAGACGGAAGGGACATAGCCAGCGGTCAAGGATGAGTTGATCAGCGAGGTGAGGTAAGGGAGAAGGTCACCGGAGATGGTCTGGAGAAGAGAGGAGGGGATAGGGTCAAGCGGGCAGGTTGTTGGGCGGCCTGCCGTCACAAGTCGCAAGATTTTATCTGGAGAGAGAGGGGAGAAAGAAGTCAAAGCATAGGGTAGGGCAGTGTGAGCAGGACCAGCAGTGTCATTTGACTTAACAAACGAGGATTGGATGTCGTCAACCTTCTTTTCAAAATGGTTGACGAAGTCATCCACAGAGAGGGAGGAGGGAGGGGGGGGATTCAGCAGGGAGGAGAATGTGGCAAAGAGCTTCCTAGGGTTAGAGGCGGATGCTTGGAATTTAGAGTGGTAGAAAGTGGCCTTAGCAGCAGAAACAGATGAAGAAAATGTAGAGAGGAGGGAGTGAAAAGATGCCAGGTCTGCAGGGAGTCTAGTTTTCTTCCATTTCCGCTCAGCTGCCCGGAGCTCTGTTCTGTGAGCTCGCAATGAGTCATCAAGCCACGAAGCTGGAGGGGAGGACCGAGCCGGCCGGGAGGATAGGGGACATAGAGAGTCAAAGGATGCAGAAAGGGAGGAGAGGAGGGTTGAGGAGGCAGAATCAGGAGATTGGAGGGAGAAGGATTGAGCAGAGGGAAGAGATGATAGGATGGAAGAGGAGAGAGTAGCGGGAGAGAGAGCGAAGGTTGCGACGGCGCATTACCATCTGTGTACGGGCAGAGTGAGTAGTGTTGGAGGAGAGGGAGAGAGAAAAGGATACAAAGTAGTGGTCGGAGACTTGGAGGGGAGTTGCAGTGAGATTAGTAGAAGAACAGCATCTAGTAAAGATGAGGTCAAGCGTATTGCCTGCCTTGTGAGTAGGGGGGGATGGTGAGAGGGTGAGGTCAAAAGAGGAGAGGAGTGGAAAGAAGGAGGCAGAGAGAAATGAGTCAAATGTAGACGTAGGGAGGTTGAAATCCCCCAGAACTGTGAGGGGTGAGCCATCCTCAGGAAAGGAACTTATCAAGGCGTCAAGCTCATTGATGAACTCTCCAAGGGAACCTGGAGGGCGATAGATGACAAGGATATTAAGCTTAAATGGGCTAGTGACTGTGACAGCATGGAATTCAAATGAGGAGATAGACAGATGGGTCAGGGGAAAAATTGAGAATGTCCACTTGGGAGAGATGAGGATTCCTGTGCCACCACCCCGCTGACCAGATGCTCTCGGGGTATGCGAGAACACATGGTCAGACGAGGAGAGAGCAGCAGGAGTAGCAGTGTTTTCAGTGGTAATCCATGTTTCCGTCAGCGCCACGAAGTCGAGGGACTGGAGGGTAGCATAGGCTGGGATGAAGTCTGCCTTGTTGGCAGCAGAACGGCAGTTCCAGAGGCTGCCTGAGACCTGGAACTCCACATGGGTCGTGCGTGCAGGGACCACCAGGTTAGAGAGGCAGCAGCCACGCGGTGTGAGGCGTTTGTGTAGCCTGTGCGGAGAGGAGAGAACAGGGATAGGCAGAGGCATAGTTGACAGGCTGCAGCAGATGGCTACAATAATGCAGAGGAGATCGGAATAAAATGAACTAAACATCTGGGAAAGGAGAGAGCCACAACTCCCAAATATAACTCTCCCAACTTCCACCTCAGAAACTATAATTGTTGTAAACTACAGCGGTTCAATGTTTTCTAGGAATAGACTAACCTGAAAATAGCTGTGCAGCAACGCTCCCCATCCAACCTGACAGAGCTTGAGAGGATCTGCAAAAAAGAATTGGAGAAACTGCCCAAATACAGGTGTGACAACCTTGTAGCGTCATACCCAAGAAGACTCAAGGTTGTAATCGCTGCCAAAGGTGCTTCAACAAAGTACTGAGTAAAGGGTCTGAATACTTACGTAAATGTGATATTTCAGTTCGTTTTTTTTTTATACATTTGCAAAAAATTCTTAAAACCAATTCATGCTTTGCCATTATGGGGTATTGTGTGTAGATTGATGAGAGAAAAAAACGATTTAATCCATTTTAAAATAAGGCTGTAACGTAACAAAATGTGGAATAAGTCAAGGGGTGTTCTGAATACTTTCCGAATGCACTGTAAATGGCAAAAAATACAGTCAAAACTAAATCATAAGAAACAAGGTTTTGAAGTGTTTGACCTATATCTAGGAGATTTAAGAAAGCTAAGGAAATATATATTTTTTACACATATTTAACCCCTTTTTTGGGTAGGCACAAAACTACCTTTATACTTCCATAAAAAATGTCCAACCAGTACCGGTTACTTACAGACGAGTCCCGTGACACTTGTGTCACAAACACTATCGTGTTCATGAGTATCTCCCCTTTCCACAGTTTGTAGCCCAAACGGTTCGGACGCTACAAACAGAAGTTGGCACATCGACTTCAGACGAGTCCCCTGACACTTGTGGGGTTTGTAGAGCGAAATGGAGCCACCATTGTGTTCGTGAGAGTCTCCCCTTTCCATAGAGTGGTCATACTAGTTCGTAGGTCAAGTTATTTCGTGAAAACACAGATTTTCGTGATGTCTCATGGTCTTAACAAACACCGCTCTATCTCTGCCACCTTTCACCGTAGATACGGAAGTGCGATATCGGCGGATGCTGTGGATTAAGACGCATCCCATGCAAAAACATATCTCTAGGTTAAACTGACAGAGTTTGATGGTGATTTTTTTATTATGTAATTTAGATTGACGCACCGATGCGTCAATCAACTAGGAGGTTAAATGTCCACTTTGGAATTGTAGGATTAGATGATGGCTAATTCCACACAAGTTGGCATGAGTGTTGATAGAAGAGTTGATTAAGACCAATATATGAATACCTGTTGCTGTAGACTAGATAAACACCCATCAAGTTCTGCAAGTGTTTCAAAATATATTTGAAGAAATATTGATGGAATAGATTTTCCTCTTATATCATAGGTGGTGAGCCTTCTGGGTAAAATGGAGTGTCTGCGTAGCTTCCCCCTCCATGCCAATATTTGTTCAGCGCTGGACAGACACCTCGAGGCTATTTACATTACCCAGGCCAGACGCAAGGAGGAATTTGTCAACACTTCAAACCGGCAGAGACAGGCCAGTGCACATTTCAGAGAGGACAGAGGTAACTCAACACTAAGTCATTAATGAGCCGCAGCTAGTTTTAAACAACTAAATCCCCCAGCATTTGTCTGTGCTTGTCTTCCAATGTTGTTTTAGATTTATTCTGGAAATATGGCTGCCATTTTTTATTCTGTAGAGCCTTTTATATTTTATTTCTTGGAAAGAGCAAACTGACAGAGCTTATCTTCTACATTTGCCTTCCTGTATTAGGGATGAGCAGCAAGAGGCCTAAAAACTGAAACGTTTCCTTTTGATAATCCTTTCATTATTTTGTGCCTGTATTCCTGCTAGATATCCTGCTGCTTGCTACAGCGCTGAGGGATCTGTGTTTGACCACAAGGAAGTCCCGCACTGCCCTGTGGTGTGCCCTACAGATGACCCTGCCCAAGTCCAACACGGACAAGCTGGATGAGCAGAGGGACGAAGAGAGCACCTCTGAGGACCAGCCCAGGGAGAACACTTATCCAGTTCTGATGCCACAGAGCCACCCTATGGTTCACATGTGACACTCACTCACATTCATGCTATAGATGTTGCTGAGAGCAAGACCAGTGAGGAGCATTAGGCCAGATAAAATTGTGATCACATCATTAGACTGAACAGAAGGAATTATTGCAGGTATGACTCAGTTTGAGCAAATAGAGGAAATGTATTGTTTGCTGAGATTATCAGTCTAACTTAAAATCTAATCAAAATGTTGTATCCTTAAGCAGGTGGTTCAGAACAATGTAATGGAATAACTGGGGGTTGCATTTATTTTAAATGGCAGTACAATTCTATTATGCTGTTGAATTGAGAATCCCCATAATCCCTTCAGCCCCAGTAATTCCCTGTTAATGAGCTTCTATTAGGAACATGAGAGAGAGAGCAGAGCCCAATCAGATATATTTTATCTGTTTGGTGGTGATAACTGTAGGAGAATGTACAGTATTATATTCATCAGTATTGTCAACTAACTGAGAGCTAGGGTCCTTGCAGTCATTGCAAGGATAATGAGTTTCATTTTTTTGGCCACACGTTTTAATACAATTTGATTGATAGTTGCTCTTGGGGAAAGGGGAATTCATAATATGAAATGTGTTATGGCATAATTTATCTTCAAATAACTTCTTCAAAATAACCACATTTTGTGATTAGTTTCATCGAAAGTAATGGGAAACTTGGAAAGGCCTAAATATTATTTAAAGACACTATTTATAATTATTAAAAAGTCAGTCATTTGAATGTGTTTCCCGATTGTTTTACTTATTTATTCGAATGTGATTTTACATTCAGTTCTGTAATACGCTTCTTAACAACCAATAATTGTGGATAAGTGATCATTGCCTCCTCTTAAGTTGAGTGGATATGGCAATGGAACCACTTTTCTGTCATATTCCATGTTAACATACCAATCAATCGCCAACTTGAAGCCTAGAGCGTTTCCTCGGTTTACCTGAAATGCAACATAGCCAGTGTATTGTTTTTACTTACTACTCTCAGTAGGTCAGGAATTTGGACTGGTCATGCATTGATGTTAATTAAATCTTATGTTATTCTTATTTTGAATATAATTCTCTGAATGTTAATCACACTGCTTTACAGCTCATTTCAAAAACATAAAAACAGATAAGAATTAAGTTTGATGGACACATACTATCAATGATGTAATACACATACTCTTAACAGGTGGCAAAAATGTTCAAACCCCTGTATTTTTAATGTTCCTGTTTGAAAATTAATGTTTCAAGATAATTGTTTCTGTTTTATTAATTCAAAAAAACAATAAAGCTCTTTAAAATGGCATTTATTTATTGAAAAAATATGTTAAAAATGAACCCCATTGCCATTCTGCAAACATTGTACATGATATAATCGAGGTAAACCGTATGAACCACCACATTGTTCTGATTCTCATACAAGAGAGTGCATAGGCAGTACATGAAGACTGGGGTGCCCAACTGAATGTATTTAATATGACAATGACTGAGTGTGAGCCTAGAGTGAATCCATCTCCAAAGATGAAAAGCATTTGCAACACATTGGCACATAGTATAGCAGCGGCTCCATGTTTGAGTGAGTTAAGATCCCATAGGGCACTTCCCCTCCCTTTTACAACAATATCCCCTCTAGTAATTGCAGAACATTTGAATGCCATTTAAAAACATTTATCTTGGAAAATTATTACTTAAACTGGGCAAACATTTTAGCGCAAAGGCTTGCATGCTACATCAATTGAATGAGTATTCATTTTCAGTGCTCAGATAGACAGTCTCCCTATTAGTAGAGGCATATTGAAAAGGAGGTAGGGACAGCAATGAAACAAAAACATCCAGCCCTTTAGTTTCAACATGGTAGGATGACAGATACAGGCAAGAGCTTGTGCAGGTTGATCATAGTTAGTGGCGATAGATACATAGACTATTATGTTGGCTTTTCATAGAGACTGCTTTACTTTAATAATCACAGTTGAGGAGAAAGAACACATTGTAGATATATGGACTGTTTCCCAGCCTTAGATAAAGCTTGATGACTGAAATCTATAGAAAACTAAAATGTTAATGAGTTTAAAGCAATTAAGTTCTCATGTCATGTTACATTTATAAGGGTGCTAATAAGGGATGGGTAAAATTAGATGTCGATTTCAGTTATTTTATCCAGTAACAAAACATTTCATGTGACAATGTCCCAAAGTGTCATTTGTTTTTCTCATCTTTTGCGTTCCCCTTTCTGTGTGCGTTTCTTCTCCTTGTCCTTCCTGTCCTGCTTGGCTAGTTTGTCCTTCTCACGCTGCAACTTGTCTGTCTCTTTCTTCTTATGGGAGTCTTCCTTAGCCTGGTCCCTCTGCTGCTTCTTCCTGGTCAGAACCTCCTCCACGTTGGTGTTCTTAAACAGGGCTGAGGCGACCAGTAAAGGAGTTTCACAACAAAACCAGCGCCCGTATTCATAAAGCGTCTCAAGAGTAGGAGTGCTGATCTAGGATCAGGTTTCCCCTATACATTTAATCATATTCAAGATCTAACAGGCAACACTGATCCTAGATCAGCACTCTTATTCCAAGGCGCTTTACGAATACAGACCAAAATGTACTATTACCTGGGTTAAGAAGTTGACTGGGTGCCATAAGTGGTCTTTAAAAAATATTATACTGGTTAAATATTACTTTATGAATGCAGTAAACAATACATTTGCATTACATTTTAGTCATTTAGCAGACAATCTTATCCAGAGTGACTTACAGTTAGTGCATCCATCTTAAGATAGCTAGGTGGGACAACCACATATCACAGTAAGTACATTTTTCCTCAATAGGAGTTATAGGAGGAGCAATAGGAAACATTGAAAGGATACATTTATCACCACTGGGGCAAAAAGCAGCTCCTGCCTGCTCCTCCTCTTCAGCTTCAGTGTTGATGTCAAGGAAACTTGAAAAATGATCTGGGAAACCATACAAATAGTGCTACTCATTGCAGTCACATAAAAATGAACATTTTGGGAGACACTGCTTGCATTATACATTACAGAAATAAACACCGAAGACCTTTAGCGCTGTATAGGTTTAACAAGGGGCAAAGCATAACTGTAGGGGCACACAACAGTTGCAATATATTGAGCTAAGGATATTCCTCATCATCTGTGATATTGGCATATTGAGCCAGGACTGCTTCTTTAGCTTCTTTCCTCTTCCTGGACTCCTCAGATACTTCCTTCTGTTTCACCACAATCTGTGCCTGCTTCTCTATCAGATTGGCAATGGCCAGTACCTCAACTACAGACAGAGACAGAGAGGAAATTCAACAGATAATCCATACAATGGCTGCTCCAGCTATTAGCTCATGTCTGAAAGTACAGCTAGAATAATGTTCTGTCTTTAAGTTTCTAGCTTTTGATTCATGTTCATACCATCCTCCTTGTTTTTGGTTGCAGACCGGGCACAGCTCTCAGCCCACTGACTAATGATCTCTTTGCAGACATCTTCAAGTTTCTCATCCTCCTGTGCATGGAAGACAGTGGAATATGGAGATGCATTTAGTTAGTGAATTTGAACATCAGTACTTTGAGAGAAGTATGGATAGCTGCAGCCCAATATGGCAACCGGAGTATGGGCGAGTGAGTGTATGGAAAGTGAATCAGCTAATTGGGCAGATTTGTTGCCACTCAAGACCGTTATGGTTGGCTGATTGGGCTGCACGACGAGTCGATAAGCCGGCGACCAGTGTACAGGTGTTGTATCTACATGCCTGCAGACTTGAGGTGCCTCCTACTGGGCAGCTGTATCACGGTCGTGTCGCCGGTTGTAGCTAACATGGCAAAAAAATGTCCCTCCACTGATTTGATTTCAAGTAGGATAGCAGCCTATACAAGAAATAACTAATATTGATAACCATCCAGATGTCACCTTGATACATACATAAAATATACTCCTCAATGGGGAGGGCATGAACGGCAACAACACCGGGACATCTTCGCTCCCGCTTGCCAAGCACTTCTGTCCGGCAACAGCGTTGGAAGTAGCTACCTAGTAGCCAATATCAGGGTGACAGTCACAGTAAGCACATACATACAACGCATGAAGCAACAGTACCCCATCATCAATACTTTAAAAAATAAACAATCGTCAGTTTTATAACTGAACATTTACAATTATTTGTGTAAAACTTTCAGTGAAATACGGCTCCATCTCTGGCTTCAAAACAAAGTCCAATGTACGGTAGTTGCGCAGTAAGAAACGAAGAAAAAATAACGTATGCCGCACAGATTTTTACCCCGCAACTATTTGTTCGTCAAAAGCAATTTGCGGACCAGTTTTTTTTTACTCAGTCTGGCTTTCAACTTACTTTTGAAAGTTGTAATAGTAGAATACACAAAATGCAATTTCGAAATTGGGTAGTACATCATCAGTTTTCCTCTTGTCATGTCAGTCATTGCATACCGTCGAGAGCTATTTAACATTATAACTTGTCAGAACTGTCCAGATCAACTAGCCCATGTCAGCTAACGTTTTTTAGCCCATAGATGTTGTTGTAATGTTTGAGTCACTCAAATATCACATGAATACACATTAGGCATATGGCAAAATGTATAGAATTGCAAGTCAATGAGCTTTAAAACTGTAAAATGTTCTCTTCACGCCATTACAAAATGTGTAGAATTGCAGGAAATAAACTTTCAACCTTCCAAATTCTCTCTCAGCCTACAACAGGGGTGAACACTGGGTGCTTGTGCCCATAGAAATAGATGTGGCGCTCAAGCATTTTCAGCCAACCCTGATCTAACAAACTTAATTCAACTGAACCTGACGAGCAGCTGATTAGTAAAAACAACTAAAACCTGCATACGGTCGGTACCCAGTAGCTCTCGAGGCTTGGCCACCCTGCTGTATGTCATGAACCATCTGTTTGTCTGTCCAGCTCAGCTGCCTTCTAACCAGCTGGAGTCTGGAGAGTTCCACCAAAGTCTCAACATGGGCTAGCCGGCTAATAATAGAAAAGGTCTGGATAACTTCAGGTTTGATTCGCCAAAACCCCATCTCCAAATATGGCTAATGGTAGATTGGCACATTTAGCTAACGTTGTTACCAGTTAGTTATAGGGAACAGATCGATGGTAGTCACTCAGTTGTTCGTTAACGTAGTTAACACCCACTTGTAACCATTGAGCACGTTAGCCATCTATTGACTACCGCGGCGCAAGCATGGCATGTCTGCCTGCTGTATATTTACCAAAAACGCAGATAGAATTCCTAGCAGTGCGTCCTCCTTCTCTTCGTCACTCTCCTCCTCTTGAAGTATTCCTAAAATATAAGCTCCATACACCTCCTGGTCCACTTCTAAGTAATCTAGCCGATCATTCAGCCACTTCTCAAAACCACCGGCATCTGCCATGGACGCCGCCATCTTGGCCGTTCGGGGTCTTCCACATCCACTCTACGACTATCCTTGTGTATTGCCTGCTAGATAAAATTTTAGCAGAATATGGTTGCTCCCTGGTACATTGTTTTAGTGATTGCCAGGAAATAATGAATCATTTACATTATTGTATTTAAGGAGGGATAATTAATCAACTACATAATCCATTTGAAATGTTATTCATTCGTTCATAGACGGTCGAATTCTTTAAAAATCTTCATGCGAGATTATGTGACCAATTGATACATTTAAATTCTAGCGGTGAATCAATCCGACGTAGTTAACACACCCCTACACTAAAATGTTTATGAGATTCTATCATGGAATTCAATGAGATTCCATGATAGATTCCCCCCCCGCCCTGACTCAGGTGACGTGGACACAGATGTGATTATCTACTTTTCACCACTGGGTGGGAGTATAAGACTTTTAGTCAAGTATATTTTTTCTACAGTTTTACAGCCTAAAAAAGTTGTATATGTTCACCAAAAATGAATATCTTATCTCACATGCTTGACCAGCTCACATGCTTGACCATCACCTGGATATGCTGAAAGTAGACCTACCGATGACAATATTGTTGTGCATCTAAATGTATCCCTGACTCTGGACAATATTTCCTGATCACTAGTTGCTGCTCCCAGTCACACTAACTAGTACTGTTCTCTGTTGATACTGGGACAAGTAACGCCTCGCAGCTGTTTGAAAACATCAAGGAGGGTTTCCGAGGGGATGGTCTCACCCTGCATCCTGCATCCAGAGAGGGCTCACTGTGTTTTGGGTATCAGTTGCCCCTTTCCCCCTCCCTCTCTCCCTCCCTGCATCTGTGTAATGGCTTCACACGTCGCTGGTCTTGTAATAATGAAGTGTGAAGCTTCTGTGCTGCCATGGGGAAGCTACCATGTACAACTGCACCCTTTATTTTCGTGCTCTGTCTCCATCTCCTGGCCTAAATACATTTAGCTAGATCCTGATACATTGATGTGAGCGAATTTTAAATTCAACATGCAAGGGACTAGTCCACTCCACACACAAATACACATTTCTATTGGAAATGGTGGTCTGGTTTGGAGAGGTCACTAGGGTAGACTGGTTACACAAGTGTGTTGTTGCAACTGTTGTGTTCTACAGTAAATACACTTGTGGTTGTTAGTGTGCTGTAACTGAAGACAAGATCAAGAGAGATTGAGACGCTGTGGAACAGTGTGTATGTTTGAGAGAGAAGGAGACATGACAACGTGGCTGGCATGACAACAGACTGGCACTATCTCAGTCTCATCCCTACCAGAGAGGCCCAGGGTCGGCCCATGCCGCTCTCCACAGTACTACGTAGCTTAAGGACGGCTGTCCTATTTTTATCGAGGGGCTGTTGATTGATGCGATGTGACGAGGGCCGGGAGCCGCTGAGTGGGTGGGCATCCACATGCTCGGCTCCACAGGCAACCTTCCTCCACACACACAAGCATGAACACACACATGCATGCACACGGAGGCAAGCACACACATACACACACACACACACACACACACACACACACACACACACACACACACACATACACACACACACACACACACACACATTTCTATCGTCATCCCCCCCAATGCCACCGGCCTAAAAAAGCCCTACGGTCACTATTTGCAATGTCCTCCCTGTCAACATCTTCTCTGCCCCGGTGTCAATGTGACAGCACAATCCAGCCCCTACTACAGTTTTTATCGCTTTGGTACTATTTTCACAAGTATGTGTTGAATTTTAAAAACTCTTAGAACAATACTCCAAAACTGGTAACACTTGTAACGCAGCCGGTCTTACATTACATTTTACATTTTACATTTTAGTCATTTAATGCCTTTCATTGTGCATTCATTTTGTTTGTAGACATCTTACACCACACAACCATTGATCCAAAATATAAGTTTACTCTGAAATATAATGAGTACATTGGTTTAATTATCAAAACACAATTTAGTTATCTTAACAACCAGTTAATCCAATATATATATATTTTTTTTAGATACGTGTTTCAAAATTGCTATTTGAATGTAGTATGTTACTGTACTGTAAATTACAGTTCATTAGACTGTTTTCACATTAGGCAATACACTTGCACTACCCATTAAAATTGACTGAACATCAAATTTCCATAATTCCTATCCCATGTGTGATCAAAGGTATTATCATTGAAGACATCTTTCACAATGTAACAAATTCAACAAATGACAGAAACATAATGTTTAGCAGGCACTAGTTTGCATCAAGCCTGTCTTGAACATTTGGCCATAGGTTCTCATCGACATTGCAGTAAATATCCTAATTGTTCATGCACCTGGGGAAAAAACTTTCGGTATGGCGAATCGAAGCCTGACATAGGTCTGGATTGATGTTATTGCATGCCTCATCGATGCCCTGAAAGAGGGTGGTACGCTTATGGGGATAGCAATCGTACATCTTCCACCTGTATTGTAATCGTGCATTGTATTTTACAGTATTGTGTTGTACTTCTGTATTGTAGTGGTCCTGTATGTGCTCAGTTCATAAGAGCATGGCACTACCAACATCAGAGTTGCGGGTTTGATTCCCACTGGGGTCACATACGAAAATATTTTGACTGTTGTCACTTTGGATAAAAGTATCTGCTATGTAAATAATAATACATATATATAATAATAATTTGGGGGGTGCTTATATTTGTCCTGTTACACGCAAGTGTGTAATGGAAATGTGTTTTTTGCTTATCCCAACTCCCCCCTGAGATACCTGCAGGGAGTGGGGTCACGGCCAGGGTCGCCATTGTACATCACCTCTGGAGCAATTAGGGTTAAGTGTGAGCTAGAAACACAAGCATTTCGCTGCACCTGGTGTAACATGCTAATCTGTGTATGCGGCCAATACACTTTGATTTGATTACATCAATATCAGATTTTTTTCACATTTACTGTGACGTAAAATCATTAGTGATCGTCATAGTAGTACATTCGAGTATATGTCATACTATTTATGTTTGTACTTTAGACACATATATTTTTATTATGTATTGTAGTTCACAAAATCTGTAGTAGACAAACCAGTTTACATGTAAAATCTGTAGGTTTACCAAACGTTTAAGTGATCATCAATTAAGAGCAGTCCCCCCCACCCTTATTTCCTGCAATTCTACACATTTTGTCATGGGGTGCAGATACCATTTTACAGTTTTAAAGCTAATTTTCCTGCAATTCTATAAATTTTGCCATGTCTAACATTTTGCAGTGACTCAAACATTACAACAAAATCAATGGGCTAAAAACCATAGCTAAAAAACGTTAGCTGACATGTGCTTGTTAATCTGGACATTTATGACAAGTTAGAGATAGCTCTCTAAGGTATGCAATGACTGACATGACAAGAGGATAACTGATGATGCACTACCCAATTTCGAAATTGCACCTTGTGCATTCTACTATTACAACTTTCAAGAGTAAGTTGAGTTCCTTTAAAAACAGAAAAAAAGCACTATGAAGCGCAGAGCCCGAGCTCTGACGTCATGTATAGCATGTTACTGTACAGCCACTGTGTTCCAATTTAGGCGCTTATCAGTGTCCAAATCTGCTATTTTGAACCTGTATACAGGTAGAGTATAAAGAGCCACATAATAGCAAAATGTATTTTAACAAAAGAGAATCATATCAAAAGTAATGTGAGCATTGCATTGTGAAAGGCACATACTTTATATGAAGATGTATTGCAAGGTGAAACGTATTTCTAGATGAAACACCGATTAAGTTTGGTGAAAAAGTGACTGTATGATTTTGTGTGTTGTACTTAGTCAATTGAATATATGCTTAGAGTTTTGAAACACCTGCCTTTATGATGATCTGTTTTGAGTTGTATACTAAGGGTTGTGAAAATTAACCATATACTTGTGAAAATAGCACCAAAGCGATAAAAAAATTGTAAAACAACATTCAATTTACAACATTAGTAAACAACATACCAATGGGCTAAGTTACTCCTTTCTTCATGGTATAGGCCTGTGGCTTTAGTTTGAGATGATATGCATTAGTCATATTATTGTGATGATCTTAAAATGTGCTTTGATATGGTATAGACAAGTTTTAGCGGGACATTTATCTGGAGGACAGGTGTGCAGTAGTGCAGGTTTGATTGGATTGGCCACAGAGAGGCAGTGCTGGTTGCTGAGTCACTCTTGTCCTGTTGTTCTGTGGCTCAGTAGCTCTTTGGTAGATGAAATGGTAGCATAGAGCAGATACGTTCACAGGAACGTTTAGCTGTAGGACAGTATGTGATGATGAGGGCAGTTGTTAGTAGTTGTTGTGAGGTTGAGTCTGATGTTGGTGGCAGTCCTCCCCCATCTCCCCTGGAGGGACACGTCTGCACTGTCTGTTTGTCTGTCTGTCTATGGTTCCTTCCAGCTAGCTCTTTACTCTGAATTATAGCAATTAAAACCCCACCACACGATGGAGAGCAGAGAGAGAGAGGTCATGAATATGCAACACTAACTGGTCGTCGTCCGGGGAGACCGCTCTTACAGTTCTGAGGTTTCCTTTCTCCCACCCCCGTTTTGTGCGTGTGGCTCCCCGAACGGTGGCCCAGAGGTTTTAAAAATGTGAAAGCCATTCTTTCCAGGTTGGTGAACTTTTATGACCTCCCAGAATGAGAGGAAACTTTTTGTCGTCCGTGGCTTTGGCAGCCTGCCTCGCTGCCCGTGCCAAGTGAACTCCTGCCAACCGCTCCCCTATTGGGGGTTGAGGGGGAGGAGGCTGGGTGGACATTTCAAGACCTAGACGACCAAGAGGAAGAGGGCAAATATTTAGCTCTGCCACTGGGGGGGGGAGATCCATGCAGAGACAGCCTTCCCAGTGCAGGGGCGTACCTGTAGGCCATGGATCAGGCCATGCCCCCCTGTCTCTCCCCTGGTGCTCCTCACTCTGTATTCAGAGTCACGGATCTCATTTCTGGGGGTAATATTTCAAGCGGGGCACAGATGGGGAATTAAATTGAAGACCTGGCTTGGAAAGGGGCAGAG